CTCAAACTAATTTATTCTATAATAATCAGCAAACAAAGGGTGTGCGTGGGAGTGTGTGCGTAAAAGGTGAGTGCGGGTGAGGGTGTCAATGATATAGAAGACGGTGCACCCACACCCTCAAGGCGTGGATGTGGTTGATACTTCTCGCTTCTCTTTACTCTCGACCGTGTCTATGTCTTTACATTCTTATTTGTACGAGAAAAATGATGCAAGATTTTTTCATCAGAACGACGAAGTGTGATTCATGTATTTGACTTTACTCTGAGTAAATGTTGTTCTATTAAAAGCTAGTCGATGACTAAGTTTGATCAAAAACCGACTAATCACAAAGTTGACTTGTCAGAAAATCACACTTCTTTATTAAGTGCAATGAAAATATATTCGTGGCACAATAATTACCTGCCAACCATCGAACAGAATTCTAATTGTTTGTCGTTCTATTCATGATCGCATGAATATTCTATTGGTAGTTGAATATAACCATTCGAATTATGCTATACAGTGTGAATCATACATTTAATTATTTCATCATTTTTCTTATTCCGCAAATGAAAATGTGTAGAGAATCGATAACAACTCACATTACTATACTCTCATTACATCTTGCACATGAATCTGTTCTATAACGGGGGAATAGTATTGCTCAATAGGCTTAAAGGACACAGACATAGTCGAGAGTAAGAACGACAATCATTCGGCAGCGCTTCTCGTCTTTACAGGCTTAGATCGAAGTGTAGTATCTGATCTCGTCGGTTGGAAAGCTGGTGCCAGTTTTACGAGACTGGACTGTTTCGAACGGATTTTTGGGCATGTGCTGCAAGATCGTAGAGTTCACCCATATCCATATCCACACCCTCAGTATAGGTATTTTCCAAGCAAGAAAAATCTTTAAATGCTGATGCAGTGAGAAAAGATATTATCTGACTGAATCTCGATTAGGGAAGTTAAAGTTCTTTAGTATAATTCTAGTGAATTGTAGATGATATTAGTTGTCGATTTGTAAAATGATTTATTATTATTGAACTTTCTAGTTTAATTTGTGAGAAATTGTAAAAATATTCTTAGATTTTTGGTATTATTTTCTAAGATAAATAAAAACGGAATATGTTGTTTTTCTTATTCATAGCTTATAAGTGAATCATTAATGATTTTTGCCGTTTGTTTCTCTTTCACCGAAAGACAGAGCAACGAATAGCAGCGTATAAGAAACGAGAAGAATTGTTATTGTTTTTTATTTTATTTAGATAATACACAAAGACAAAATGTTAGACACAAATGATATATGTTTTGAAGAGGGTGGTATCGATACAGATCGTATTGTTACGGATAAACTTCGCGTAGCAGATGAGCTTTTCTGTTTAATTTGCAAAAATCTTCTTTGGAAAGCAAGATCATGTGCTTCTTGTCAACACTTATTTTGTAACAAATGTATTCGAACATGGCTTACCATCAATTCAACTTCATGTCCGCTTCGTTGTTCTCCTTATGAAGAAAAACGTGTTCCACCATCTATTTGTTCTCTTTTAAGTCGTTTGACTATTCGATGTCGTAATAGTTCATTAGGTTGTACAAAAGTCTTATCGTATGACTTACTAGAAAAACATGAAACTGACGAATGTCAATTTCGAACGAAGCAATGTTTTATCTGTGGAAAATATATTAAAATAAATGAATTTGATCGACATCAAAAATCTTGTAAATTAACTACTCTTACATGTCATGTATGTAAATGTCTTGTAAATCGAGAATCATTGGAAGAGCATGCAAAGAAATGTATTTTGGGAAGATTACATGTCTTGCTTGATCAAACGGTATCATCATGGGATATTCCTAAACGTCCAGGTACTGTGCCAGTACAGCAAGAAAATAAAAATATGTTCACCAGATTAAATAATCGGGTACGACGATTCGTGCTTAGTCAACGAAAAATTCGTCTTGCTGGATTCAATGTGGCTAAACGAGCTCGTCACAAAAATTATTGGATTCGAATTTGGACTATGTTTCAATTGATTCTATTGAATAAATCACGCGCTAGTCAAATCATCTGTTGCCTTCTCTTTTTTGCTATTGGGACTATTATACCATATCCCATTATTCTTTTTTCACTCCTACGCAATCAAATCGAAATGTTTTTTTATCGATCATTAATTTTTATGATTTTATTTGTTGGATTATTTAGTTTCGCTTTTACGATTTTACTTACATATGTTAATGATATATGGATAATTATGTTTATTTTCTTTGCTTTATTATTAGTAGGTTCAATACGTCAAGAAATGCCAATAGAATACTTCCAAGTCAATCAAAGTCGTTTATTGATGTTAGCAACCAATTTGGTCCTTCTTTGTGTTCTTAAACTTTCTTTATTATTAATACGTTTCTACTTTTTATACATACCTACTTATATATCGACGAGTTGTTTAGCATCAACAATTATATTCTTAACATTTTATATGCGTTATTTTAGTAATCATCTAGAATGAATCTAGTTTATGATCGTCGCATTGATATATTCAAGAGATATTTCATTTTTTTTCTTTTTTATCTATTTGTGATTAACATGTCATTTTTAAGTAAAATAAATCGGAGTTCATTGACAGGATTGAATCTTTTTTTAAAGTGTCACAGTATCTTTATCTTAAGAGTGGCAGTGAGAGTGTAATATCACCGTATCTACGTGTATCTGTCCGTTCAATCAATCAGACTTCAGGACAAAGAACAGCAGACAAGAAGTAAAAAGCATATTTCCATTGATAGTTCTCGGAGTTAGGGTACAGATGAAGGTGCGGGTGTATGCGTGGGCGTGGGTTTGGGTGTGCGTGTGGGAGTTGGTATGAGCCTTGTTTTTGTCTAACATCCACACCCACCCATCCTATTCCGTTTGATTGAACATTGTGGAAACGATTCTGGAGTAGAACTGATTCTTAAATATTCAGGCATCGCAAAATAGGATGTTTGTTCATTTGCGAATAACAAAAGCAACTTCATTCTAAGCTATTCCTAATTCTTGTTTTTATAACTCACATTTTCATAAAAAATTCTTATCTTTTTGCACGTTATTACAAATCTCTGATTTTTCCAACATTATTTATCATGACAAAAACAAAACGCACTTTGTATTTTATATGATACTTCTCTTACTTGCCTTTTTTTGCTTTAAAAGACAATAAAAGAGTATAGCAATATATAAACTTCTGTCCTTATCAAACAAAAACCTTTTTTCTGTCTAATAAAAAAAGATAAAAGCGACATGTGCAACACCGACAATTTGATTTTTGAATAGAGGACAAATAGAAAAAGAATGTATCATTTGAGGATGTGAATGTGAGGATGAATATTATCTTCCACTTATATTCAGACGCACACCCACACATCTAGCCTCAACATAAAGATCATGGATAATTGTATAAACACTATTATGGGTATACCAAATGTAGCTTTTTGTGAACTATTCTGGATACCAAGGATAACCTTTCAGAAGCTAATTAGAGGAACTAATAGTACGTTTTTTAGATGGATCATGGATATTAGTAGTATCTTTTCTAGTCCCATTTGCCACTGGTGCTTTTAAGTTGTTCACATTATCCTTGGAAGTACCTATTAGGTTATCAAGAATGAATAAATACGGTACATTTAGCTTTTCAGGTTCAAATACGTATGTTACGCTCAAGTATTCAGTAGACAGCTCGCAACGGTAAAATCAAGTTTGACTTCGACTGGTTGCTAGATCATATTATTTTATGAGAACTGATACTTTTCGATTACAAAATGTGTGCTAGGTTTTCTGACGTTATTGCAGATCCATGAGAAATTGCAGCATTGAAAAGATCTCATAGGAAGCATCTTGAGGCTGTGGGTGTAGGCGTGGATGTGGATGTGGATGTGGATGTGGATGTTGATGAGTGTGCGTACAAAGAATAGAAAACTCACACCCACCCTACATGCACACCCATCGAATGATATATAGCTCAACATATTTTTCAAACAACAATTTTTTTCGAAAAAAGGCTGAGGTCCCCTAGACAGATTTTTTCGAAAAAATGTTTTTTTCTTCGAAAATCTTTCATTTTCTTAAAAACTATTGTCTGAGTGGTATACTGTCATTTCTAGTGAATTGAAAGTCATTCCTAAGCGAACAAAACTACATGTCCGCCTGCGTATACGAAAGCTCCCTACTATGTTGAATATATTTTGCATTTTTAATTTAACATAATGCCTTTTACCAAGTTTTCTGTTGCGAGGAGAATCACTGACAAGACCTTACGTTGGAACGATAATAAAATCTACAAAGATGAATAATATGAAAAGTAGAACATTTACTGAGATTGAAATAAAAGTAGAGTATTCAGTTACATTGTCCGTTAGACTCGTGAGGGTGGGTGTGGGTGTGGGTGTGGGTGTGGGTGGGTGTGGGTGTGGGTGTGGGTGTGGGTGTGGGTGTGGGTGGGTGTGGGTGTGGGTGGGTGGGTGTGGGTAGGGTGAGTGGGTGTGGGTGATAGTCTCTTCTTGATCCCCGTTCTCACCCACCCAACCACACCCACGACCCACACCCACACCCACACCCACGCACCCACACCCACACTCACCCACATCCACACCCACACCCACACACACACACACACCCTCATAGAATAGATTCAACGTATCATAGAACGATCGTTTCGACTATTGTTTAGATAGTCATCATTGTGTAGTGACAAACAGAAAATAAAAAAATATATAATTTTGTCGTATGTGTCATTTTTACGGTAGAAGAATAATGGAAGAAATATCCACCACAAATGAATCACAGTATAACAAGCTCGCTTCAAGGTGAAAAAGAACAAAATTACACAGAGTTTCGCAATGTGTAGACTGGTGTCATGTTTATTATGACTACGACAAGGGAAATTTATAATAGAGGATCAAATGTATGTTTTATTAGTCATGATGGACGGTAATATATAAAGGAAAATTTACAGGTAATAAACAGCCGAAATTTGTCGGTTGTCTATGCAAAAATGTCAAACGTTAGCTCACAAAGTACAACGGAAGAAGAAACTGAAATACTCACTAGACAAACTGTATTACTTGATATTCCACCTCGTTTACAATGGAATAATGGTAATGGTTATTGTGGTGAAACAGCCCTTCAATCTATTGGTATGTTGTATGACATTTTTTATCTATGCAATATTTTGTTAGAGAGATGAATTTGACACTACATAGTTATGACATCATAAATGATCTGAATTATAGAAGAATCACTAATTTCTTATGATTTTGTTCAATCAGTTAATGTCAACTAAAAACATGTTCTTCTAGGAATAAATATGATTTCATTGCAATTTTCTTGATATATCCTTACATTTTTCGTGAAATACCATCTGAAAGAGAGTGTTGAAGTGTATAGGGGTAAAAATTTGGGCCCACCACTCCCCGCCTCCGACAGATCGTGATCAACAGCGTCACAGACCTTGATCGATAGCATCACAGACTGTGACCGACAGCGTGACAGACCGTAAGCAACACTATTTTGGTCAGTTTATCTATAATTTTATAGTCAAATTATATCTCTTAAGAGTCAGTGCTAGCAGCTATATCGTGTTTCACATTTTTAATCCCGCAGAGATTGCACGACACAGCTTTTTAATGATAGATTCGACAGATTGATAAAAATATGCGAGATATGTTCGATATTTATTAAAAACTATATGATATTGTTAGGTCTATATTACGGTGCTTGGATTTCTCAAAAACTGATTTATGATATAAATAATGGTGAATATCTTTTGCAACCAATATCAATCAATGATCATCGAAATCCATTGCGTACTTTGGAAATACTTCACTTTACATATAGTGAATGGGATTGGATAAATTCTCCTCAACCACATTTTCGTAATTTTTGTCGTTGGATGAAACAGTCGATTATACGCAAACATCCTGTAATATTTGGTATATTTCTTCCTGGTATGGATTATGAAGATTATGATCATATTGTTCCAGCAGTTGGTATACGATATAAAAATGAAAATGAATATGATCAAGAGGATGAACTTATCTATTATGTTCTAAACCATAAAAAAGAAATTGAAAAAAAGATGAGTGAAGACGAATTTGGATCAACAAGGGAAACAATAGATATCAAAGAAGATGCAGATGATGGATGTATACCATTAGATGTAAGTTTTACCTTCGTATTTAAATATAGATAAAGGCTAGTCTTAGGTAAACGAAATAAAAATTTTAATAATTTCTAAATTAGAAATTCATTCGTTATTGATTAATATCTTAGATCGATTATAGCATTGCTATTACTGGTATTGTAGATGAAGATCATGTCACATTACCGGTTCGCTTATCAGTTCCTCAATGGAATGAACCTAATCCAACTTATCGTAAAAATCCTAGAGAGATGGTTGGTACTATAACAGTAAACAACTTGACAATTGGAAAGTTCTATGCTCTACTTCGCTATTCATCTTATACATATGTTCCAACTCAAGGGGATGAAGATACTTTTCTACAATCTCAATTTGAAGCAAAACATGAATTTATGGCAACGACAACAAACTATGTATACGAAGATCCACAGACAATATCATCAACCGGATCAGTTTACTATCGATGTATTCGAATACCTGAGTGATTCTTATGAATAATGTTTTAAAGCAGCTTGTTATTTTTTACGAATTCATTTAAATAAAGTTCCGTATACATAATCCGATTGAAAAAATGATTCGCCGTCAACAAAGATGAATGGCGGGTGTGGGTGGGTGGGTGTGGGTAGTACTACTTCTCCCACCCTCACCCACCCACACCCTCAAATTAGCCACACCCACACCCACACCCTCAAGATTTATGGTGCATACAATACTTTATCGGATTTAACAGAGAACCACGAGAACTTGTCGGTTCCATATGGTACCATTTTTTTAAGTGGAAGTGTGGGTGTCAATGTCTTTAACTAATACCCACGTCCGCACTCTAGTCTATAAAATAATAAAATGTAGTCATTGTTTTATAATATTATTTTTCTTGCTTTTATATTGTGTTATATGGAAGACGTCTTCACAATTGATCATCCTTTGAATATTGATCCGGAAGATGACCCTACGGGCGAGCAGCAAGATGCAATGAGAAAATTTGAATCTCTTCCTCTTATGGTACAAACAATATTAAAAGATAATAGCGTAGTACAAGGTTATGTGTCCGGAGGCCTAGATTGGCTTTTTACACATTTGGAGAATAATATTTTACCCACAATGCCGTGCAAAAAGCAACGCACATTTTTCTGGCAATTTTATGTTGCTTTGTCTACCAAGTACTTACACAATTCACAATTATCGGAAATAGAAGAGTATACCAAAGATTTAATGGATAAATTTCATTTACCTGATACAATAGAGCGTGGAGAGGATGTGGAATCAACAAAAACGTTTCTTATGACTTTAATTTCTGGGAGAAATGAATTTTTAATTAATGATTTTAAACGATATTATGATATTAGGAAAAAAACTCCTCAGAAGGTACATGAAATAATGACGGATATGGAAAGTATAGTAGCGAAATTTTATGATGTTCGCCACGCAATTGTGGTATCGACTTTTTTCCAGAAATATGCTCCGGGAGTCTTGTATGGTGGTGCTATAGAAAACTACATACTGAAGCAGCACATTAATATCCAAAAAGCTACCATTGCACAGCAACAAACTATTATTGATCAGCAAAAAATTATTATTAATCACGTAAGCCTAGGAGATGAAGGTTCAAATAACATCGTAGATACAATTAAGACAACTACTGAACAGGGTAAATCAATTGGAAAGCAGACTAATCTATCCTTTGACGAAGACATACTAATCTGTCAGGACTCAACTCTTACTTTTCAGTAATCGATTGTATACCAAGTGTTAGTTGGTAATAAAAAGTCTTGAGGAAATTAGTATAAATGCAGAGTTTTTGATATTACCGACGCGTTTCGTATTATTTATTTTAAAATAAATACTCATCAGGACATTGTACGAAAAACATATTAGAATAAAATCAAAGAAAAGAGAGGATAACGGTGAGTTTACAAAGGAGAGAAAATAATCCAACCATCTTGAGGGTGTGGGTGTGGGCGTGTGGATGGGTGGTGTGGATGTGGGTGCTTGTGTTGCTTTGTTCTATATACACACCCACACCCACACCCACACCCACACCCACACCCACACCCACACCCGCAGGACCAGTTATGAGGGTAACACTTGCACAATGTCTTGCTTTACAAAATATATAGAACTATTCGTTTTTCATGTTAATATTTTACTCCTGATTCTATGAATTTCTTTTAATTATGTAATTCAATTATAAATTCTCGAGGATAAGTGAGGATGAGAGTATACATAGATAACACCGTCACCCTCAAAACGAGAACATAATAAAAACTTAGGACTCTTTTATGTCATGATGTTTCGTGATCATAAAATTCATGACGAGAAAATATACTACTTAAAATGATCTAATTTTCAGTGTTTCAGAAGCTAAAAATACTTTTCTTATTTATGATAAATGTGAAAATATGTCAAATTTTACATGAGAAAAAACAAGAAGATTTTCATGGAGTAAGTTTTAGTCAATTTTAAATTTTATAAATCATTATATAAAAGTCAATTAATGTCAGATGAATTATTAAATCAAGATCTTTTTAATGCACAAGTTGAAACTGATATTTCTATATTTCAAACTTAATATCTACTACTACAAGTGTTTTACATGATAATACAATCACATCATATGAATAAGTTTAATCAATAACAAAAATTATTGTTGATTTTTTTTTTGAAAACTTCATTTTCACATAGCACTATTTGATTGACTATTCTAGTTTTCTGGTTATTCAATTAGGATCGAGTCATATATTTCTTAGTAGTGATTGATAAACTCCAATATACTCTGTTGTGTTGATTTAGCTTATATACGTCATAGAACAATTTTGAAAATTAGTATTAATTTTAAATGAGTTTACTTCTTTTGCATATGATGTCATACATCGTTGTACTAAAATAAGAAATATATTCATGTACATTCTACTATCGATTTTGTAAGTATAATGAAAGATGTTTTTATGATTTATGCACATGGTGAAAATAAATGTGTTGTAAACTATGAAAAGAATGAAAAACAAACTATATCTCAGGTAACGTCACATGTGACGATAATATTTCATGTAAATAAAACCATCTATGAGTAATACTTACATTAACACATATACATAAAGAGCATCTCTAATCTCCTGTCTATATTCTTCATCAAAATAAACTTACATTCAATGTACTTATACTTATTTTCATTAGATTTATTTTTTATAGTATAATATTCATATAAATTTGTTTGTATCTATATTGGATTTTATTTTGATAAAATTTTTGTCTTGTTTGATATTTCATATCGTTAATATTATAAAAAATAATTTATTTTGATGTACTATTATCGATAAAAGGTCGCAATGTCTTGTGTTCTGTATTTCATAGGCGTGATAAAATATTCCAAGGTGTCTACGTGTATATATCGTAGATTCTTTGCATATACATAAAAAGAATATACACATGCAATCAATATTTTTCATTGGTGAATGGATAACTAACCAATTGCATCTCTTTACCTGTACGGTGTTTCAGTTAACAAAAAATGCATGAGAAAAAGATTAACGGTTTTTTTGTCGTCGCATATACGAAAAATATTCGATGTGAATCTAATAACCAATCATTTTCGAATTGTGCATCACAATCCGATACGTTTTCTTTTCATCGAAATAAGTACAAAGGTATCTCAGATATAAATATATTGACATTTGTTATTCTCAATACTTCATTCTTTTTAAAATTTCTGACGGTTAGTATCATAATTATTTTTTATTAATGTTAATGAGAAAGATAGTATAGTGTTAGAATTGACTCATGTATTATAAACATTTCATTATTTTTAGATTTTACAAAAAAGTATTTACATACATTAATAAAGAAAAAAAATGGATTATTTAGTGCTACAAAATAGACCATCAACGGAAAACGCTCTTACACAAACTGAAGAAATAGGTATACCACTTGTCAGCAAAAATGTTCGAACACAAACAGAATTAACAACAATTGGAACTGATAATGAAACAATGCAATATCGAAGAAAATCAAAAAGGAGATCAGTCAACGTCATTAGTGATCCATCAAGTCTTTTGATGAATGTAACATATCAAAATGTCGATGACAAAGATACACGTGGTCGAAATTCAGAACTCTTACCAGAACTATTAGAAGAAGATGCAAATAATTTCAATGAAGACTCTGCTGATACTGATCAACGGAGAGGAGAATCTAAGGAAACAGGACAAAAACTAACAGATACCAGTACTCCTGATGAAACAGAACCGTCAGCAGAACCTATAATTGAATATGCTAATGAACCACTTTTACCACTTGCTGAAGCATGTGCTCCTCTTAATGATATTCTACATAACATGTCATTTTATGTTAAATTAGCATTAGAAGAAACACCTTCACCACCACTTGATAACCTTACAGTTGATGAAAGTGCTGCTATTCGTTTATATACCATTGAATGGGATCGACCACATCGAAGTCTTTATTCATCGCTTAATTATACTCTTAAAACTCAACCACGTGAAAAACTTATACCTTACCACAAATATATGAAGTTATTCATCACTGCTCTTGTCAAACTTCCATGTGTTCCTCCTTGTACTGTTTGGAGAGGAGTGACACAAGATTTGAGTGCAGAGTTTCCACCTGGCACTCCTGTCACTTGGTGGGCATTTTCATCTACTACAACTGAATTAACTGTACTAGAAAATAATATGTATTTGGGTGCTAGTGGAAGTCGAACTCTATTTTCTGTCGAAGCTATAAATGGTCGAACTATTAAAGCACATTCACATTTTGTTACTGAAGATGAACTTCTTCTTCTCCCTGGTACTTATATGGTTGTTCAATCACTCTTTAGTCCAGCACCTGATCTTAATATCATTCATCTGAAACAAGAGATACCTAAAGATATTTTATTACAACCACCATATGAAGGTATTGTGCATGACTTTTTAATTATTTCTTATGAATGAGAATATCGATTTTAATTTAGGTGCACATATTTTTCCAAAACTAAAGTAAGTCTAGTTATATCTGTCATTTTCAGAGGATTATTTTTATGTAACTTCTTTCGTGATATATTTGAAGACGTCCATTGTATACAAAGAAAAGATTTGCTATTCCATTGATTTTGTCAATTATAGCAGTTATTACGGCAGCTATTATTGGTGTTGTTATGGGATTAAAATCTGCAAAGAGTGGTAAGTGATCAGTGATTTCATGATCTGGATCGTAATCACTAATTTCTATTGTTTTATTCTAGTACAAGTATGCACAACACCATATGTAGGAACTGTAGCTTTCTTTCAAACTGGTAACTTTCCAATTTCTGGCATAGTGGGCACATTCGATAACGATACGAACGTAGATATCATCGTGGCAAATCAACAAGATGACGAAATTGTTGTATTATATGGTGATGGACAAGGGAATTTTCCAGCGCAGTCCAAAGTTAAAACTCTTCCACAACCTGTCTCACTAATATTTTACGATTTGAACAATGATCGTT